GCAGGTTAAGTTTGCATATAGGTCGGTTTTATCTGAGCCACATTGGTAGCCAATTACGATAAGAAGTACAAATTTTCATCATTGAGCTTTATTTCTCGAAAGCAAAAAGAAAATCATTTCATCTATCTCACTTGTTCTTCATTATGAAGACTTGCGTAGAAATATTTGAATTAGACTTTAATCTCATATAGAATGGAAAACATTACTTAATAATTAGTGAAGAATTACTGAATTTGTGATGTGGTGTAATTCAGAAACTAGTGAGCTAAGTTCAAATTGAAGTCGGGATTGTTACATTCACTTATGCGTAAATTCCCTTAAATATGAATCCATCCCTTCTTCCCGCCTCACAGCAATGGGTTGAATAGCAGGACACAACGGGCCCTATAGGCTTGGTTGGCAACCAGTCTACCGCAGAAAAAAACGGCAGCCTACCGCGGGAAAATCTTTAGCCTACTCAGTTATGAATCGAAAGAGACATGATCGACCAAGCTTGTATCAAATATAGACTTTGATTTTTCATAATTATCTTATCTGTATCTGTATCTGTATCTCTCTCTCTCTCTCTCTCTCATATATATATATATATATATATATATATATATATATATATATATATATATAAAGAAATAACTTTTTTTTATTAATCCGACAGATTTTGTCACTTAAAAGTTATTTTTAGTGAATACTCGAGTAATCTTATTAAAGAAAAATATACGTCCCCCAGCAGGATTCGAACCTGCGTTTACCTTGGCAGAGAAAACCTATATTAGATACTACTTTAATAAGATTTCTCAAATATTCCCGAAAATAAACGGAGTGTCTACTAAATTATGAGTATCCACTACAAACAACGTATATATATATATATATATATATATCTTGCTCGGATAACACTCCTCGTTTATCTCTTGTTTTTGGTTAAGGTTTCCCGTTCATTCTGCTAAAGACTTTTCATTTTCTTTCAACCCGAGGAAACTTTTGCGTCTTGGGGGCATTATCGCCATGCTCGGGTCTCAAACGACTATATATATATATATATATATATATATATATATATATATATATATATATATATATATATATATATATATATAGTCGTTTAACTAATATATATATATATATATATATATATATATATATATATATATATATATATATATATATATATATAGTTGCATAATACATTTTAGATGAATCAAGGGTGGTCTTTAGTGATGCACTGGCCTCCTCGCCGATTTCGTGTTTTGCATCATATCGGCTCCAACAACAACCCTGACCTGATTCAAGACATGTCAGGCCGTGTGCTTGAAAGCGTCGTCGTGCAACACACCGCGACATTGCAAAAAACACATTTCGACCTTGTTCGGATTTCAACCTTTCTTATTGACATATGTCAGTCAACGTCAGCCAATGAAAAACAAGGCTTTTCACGCCCCCCTCCAATAATTGTGTTGTATTTTTATCTCATTTGGTTTAGCATCGATCTACTACTTCCGGAATACATAACGAGGTAAGCTGGTCTCTTTCTTGCAGAGTTCAATCCAATGCTTTACATTTTAAATACTAGTGCCATAGTAATACTAACTCTTTAACTAAACCGACTCGCGTGCCCAACCCAAATCTATCCTATACTAGCACTTTCTAACAAAAAATTATATATATAATATTAGTCGTTTGACCCCAAAGCTTGGCGATATATATATATATATATATATATATATGTGTGTGTGTGTGTGTGTGTGTGTGCGCGCGCACGTTAGGTATATAATCCAGGGTTCTTTAGTATTTTTGCTTATTTAAAAAAAAAAACAGTGCTCCATACAGAAGTAGAACTTAGATTATAATTATTTTTTTAAAAAAATATGATTTCTTCGCTACATAAGAGTTCTCATGTTTCAAAAACGAGAGCCGAAACCCTCAATATAATTATTAAAATTAAATTGAATTAAAGTAACAAGCCCTGTTTCATCCACAAGCGAAAATTTTCGCTTGAGGATGAAGGCTATATATATATATATATATATATATATATATATATATATATATATATATATATATATATAGTGGCTGCGACTTACAAAGCGAGTATGACCATCACTGACATGTCCAGCCATTCAGTTAAACTCCTCCCAACAATATTTCATTCATCGGTTATGTGAACGACAATGACTCATAAAGCCAGCCATCAATCTGCATTTCTTGTCACATATGTGCCTTTTCAAATTATCTCTGGATAGTGGAAGTTGACTTTGATCATCATCACTTCCAATGTGCACTTGTCAGGCACGACCTGGACTTGCACACCCTAGTGCAGGTTGGGCATCAAAAGCATGCCATTACGAAATCGTCATATACAAATAGACTGTATAAATAGACTTACCACACCAGCCCTAGACAGACATATCCGATTGCATTGGGCACATGGCCAAGTTGGCACCTCATGGATCCCTTTCGTCCTATATATATATATATATATATATATATATATATATATATATATATATATATATATATATTATGAAATGGGCAAAGTCCAACAATTATTTAAGACATTTTTTAATGTTTATACGTTCTTTTTTATAGATAGAAATATTTAAGTAAATGCTCTGTTTATAATAAACAGTATTAATAACATTTACCGGCCTGAGTGTCCGAGAAATTTTCATAGAAAATATGCGTCCTCCGACCGGAATCGAACCTGTATCCTATACGGAACCGTCATATAGCCTGACGTGCCTGAAGCGTTTGGGCAACAGAGGAGCGTTCGGTTACCAAGGTCTCCATGATTTTCTCTCATTCATTTATATCTGCATCCTATACGGAACCGTCATTTACGCGGACGTGCCTTAACCGACTCGGCCACAAAGGAGCGTTCGGTAGGCAAGGTCGTATAGGATGCAGGTTCGAATCCTGTCAAAGGACGAATATTTTCTATGAAAATTTCTCGGACATTCAGGCCGGTAAATGTTATTTAATACTGTTTATTATAAACAGAGCATTTACTTAAATACTTGTATCTATAAAAAAGAACGTTAAACATAAATTTGATATATATATATATATATGTATGGGGCGATGGGTAATTTTTCGTCTAAATCAGTCAACATTTTAATAGATATATGTAACAAAAATACACAAAAATATCTTAAAGAGTAAATTTATTCAATAATAAAGCTGTTGGCTTAAACCACGGCCTCCAAATCGACTTCGGAATCTCTTGCAACTCTTCTGCACGGTCTCCTTGTTTAAGTTGGTGAATACTGCCATAATTTTTGCCTTCAGTTCATCTTTGGTATTACAAGGAGTTTTGTTGGCCTCTCGCTTAACTGAACCTCACACATAATAATCAAGGGGGTTGCAGTGAGGGGAGTTAGGTGGCCAGATGTAAGGGGGGATGTAGTCGCAGAAATTGTCTGACAGCCATGACTGGGTTCTCCATATTGCGGGGCAAGGTGCAGAGTCCTGATGCCAGACGTTGTCTCTTCCGGCAGCCACCCTCTTAATCCAGGGCAGCCCTACCTCCTCAACGCACTTGATGTAGGCCTCCGTATCGAGTCTGAGGCCCTATGGAAAGATTAATGGGGGCATAATGTCGCCCTCGCTAGTGATCACTCCAAACACCTTGATGTTGAATGGATATATCATCCAACTCTTTCCGAGTCCTCTGCACTGTCCTCAGATTGACATCCAAACACCCTGAACAGTTTGTATTGCAGATTCCGGTGCGAATGCCAAGGAGTACAGCATGCTGTTCCGAAATTTCTGGATGAGTGAATAGTGTCATGGAGCTCTTTTCTCACAGATGGTGTACAACTGATCCTACTATACTGTTCTGTCGTCAAAATCAAAAACAAAGACCATGTGCGAAATTAAAATTTTAAAGTGGCGACAATTTACCCATTGCACCATATATATATATATATATATATATATATATATATATTATTAAACCATTGGAATCTGTTTATATATATATATATATATATATATATATATATATATATTTATAATTAATTAAAATCATTTTTTTCAAAATAGGATTCCATCCCTACACAGGAATTACCATGTTTCAAAAACAGAAGCTAAAAACTTCCCATTCAATTATAGAATTAAAATGAATTAAAGTAAATAGTTCTGTTTCATTTTCAAGCGAATTTTGGAATCTAAGCTCTACTTGTGTATCGAGCACTGTTTTTAAAAAGTAAAAACGAAAATACTAAAGATATTCGGATCATCAATTTAACGGTTCTTTCCTATTTATCAACATATTTGCATATATATATATACATATATATATATATGTGTGTGTGTGTGTGTGTGTGTGTGTGTGTGTGTGTGTGTGTGTGTGTGTGTGTGTGTGTTTGTAAAAATATATAGAAAATAGGAAAGAACTCGTTAGGTAAATAATCCAAAATTCTTTAGTATTTTTCTTATTAATTTAAAAAACAGTGCTCAATACAAAAGTAGAGCCTAAATATAATTATTTATTTAAAAATATGATTCCATCGCTACATAAGAGTCCTCATGTTTCAAAACAAGAGCCGAAAACTTCAATATAATTATTTGAATTAAATTGAATTAAAGTACCAAGAAAAAAAAAAATCGCTTGAAGATGGCTCAGAGCTTGGTACTTTAATTCAATTTAATTCAAATAATTATATTGAAGTTTTTGGATCTTGTTTTGAAACATGAGGACTTTTATGTAAAGGGATGGAATATTTTTAAATAAATAATTATATATATATATATGTGTGTGTGTGTGTGTGTGTGTGTGTGTGTGTGTGTGTGTGTGTGAAAAAACATATATGAAACGTAGGAATCATATTTTAATAAATAATATATATATATATATATATATATATATATATATATATATATATACGTGCTTGGTAGTGAAGGTCAATAAACGAAAATACTTTTGAAACGCCCTAATATGCCAGAGTTTGAAGGAAAAAAAAACCTTTAGGACACCACTGTCGCTTTTTGTAGATGTTTAC